TTACAATGTACACACCATCTGGAAGCATGCATCTTAAGGACGATCGCGTGAAAATTTTCTAGTTTATAGATTTTGTTTAAATTTTTACTGCAGTCAGATAACGAGTTACTTGTGTCAGAAATGCAAAAAAAAAAATGGAGGTCACCGACGTCGTTTCAGATATAAAGCGTGTGGAAAACTACCCTGATTTTGAAAAATTGGCGTACGTAATTCAGCATGGTCTACACTGAGGGGTTTGTAGTTAAAAATATTGAAGGTTAGTCACGAAGGCAAACGATGTTAGTCATATTTTGCAGAAGTGGGTTTGTTGCGTAAATAATTCCAAATATTTTGCCAACGTTTTCACAAAACTTAACCCTTCAAGAGGCAATAGAAACTACCGAACAGATAAACGAAGAACTGATAAGAACGGAATTCGATGGTGCATTGTGAAATAAATTCAAACTTCTAGTCGATAGTTTTTCTTCATTTTTTTCGCTAAACGAAGAAAATCAGCAGAGAAAATGATCCATTGAAAGAAAAATAAGGGTCACCGAAGGTCCAATATCGTTAAATCCAGGCAGAGCTATAACAACAGCCATCTGCCCTATCATCGTTCATTTCATTACTTAGCGCGCGCTCTCATCAACCTCGTTCCCAGAGTCTTTTCCTTGGCTTGGGGGCGAGGTGCTTGTGAAAGGAATTTAGATAAAGTTTTGAACGACTAGTAGATTTATACTAAAGCAATTAGATTATTCGCTCTCGATTTCTATGCGTAATAGTTGACGAGGGCTGTTATCACGCTATAGAAATCTCGAGCTCATAATCTAATTGCTTAATATTATACGAGTAGTTCAGCTAATCATATTGCAGCATTTGCATTAGTATGCTAGTAGAATTTTCTAATTAAGAATTGGTTCATGCTTAGCGTGCGTATATCGAGTAATGGACGCACGCGGGAAGTTTGGAGAACATGCGTACGAAAGAAGGGTAAGAGTTGCTCAAGGCGACAGCCTCGAGCAACTCTAGCTTCTTGAGTGCTCTCCAAACTTCTCAAGTGCATCAATTCTTTTATAACATGGCGACAACAACTAGGGCGCTGAAACATGTTTTATTTGTGATTGACCTCAAAGTTCTCACAATGCACGGTGAAGAAAAACAAAGGTCATTAGGATCTTGACACGTCACAATCAGCTGAGGAATGGTTGAGCGAAAACCTTTAACCTGGTTTCTAAAATTGTCGATGAAAAATTCTTTAGAATAATCTTCACATTGCCGAAAGTTAAAAAGAACTTGCGCTAAACTCGACGGAAATTTTGCTGCATACGTCATCTTATACGCGGACGGCCGTGCGTACATAGACACTTCGTTCATGATGGCTCAATAGGAAAATTAGATAGAACTAGCGCGCGCTAGGCTATAAATTAGACTAGCGCAGGGGGCTCGTAATTTAGTGATTATGGTAAACATTGTGTTAGCGATGAAGACCTTTAATTTACTGGCCTATTAGAGATAATTGTTATCATCCAGTTTATTTTTCACTCTTTTTTTATTCTCTAGGAAATTGGTGGAGGCCTTGGCAATTATTTATTACCAAAGACCCACTTGCTAGTAAACTGAATTTTTCACGGCTTTGGAACCAGAGGTTGACTTATGAGCAACGTAAAGATAGAATCTGTGGCAAAGAATGGCAAGCTAACTACACCAATCTTCACAAAGATATTCTGCAATCGCGGCGGCCTCGACGGTTTATTGTTTTTAGCTGTACTGTGGAAAGTTATAAATGTGCAGGTTATGGCAATCGCTTAGGGGGCATCGCCTCACTTCTGTTTCTTTCTATTTTAACGCAAAGAGCGTTGTTAATTGAATGGGACCAGGAAATGCCTTTGGATACTTACCTTGTCCCAAAAGGGATCGAGTGGAACTATTCAACAGAGAATATAAAAGATCTTGACACAAGAATACATTTCTTGGGGAAGCAAAATCACTTCAATACGAGGAGGAACGATGTGCTCAATCAGTGGGAAATGAAAACAGATTTTGTTAGCTGGCTTCTGCAGACAAACATTCAAGCTTATTTTGACCGACCTGTTGAAAAAGTGGTGTCAAATTGGTATTTTGCAGACTTCTTATTGGAAAATCCTTTTTTAGGACAAAATGTTGACGAGTTGGGAATCAGGAGGGAACGCTCTCGATACTCACTCATAGGTTGTGCTTTTGATTTTCTCTTCCAGAAGTCTCGCGAACTGGAAACCAGGCTTGACGCTGCTAGACGATCGCTCGGTCTTGCAAGCCAGGCTCCTAAGCTCGGGCTTCAAATAAGAATGGGGGATATATCTTTACACAGAGGCTTGCTGAAAAACAACCACATTGACTTCAAGCGTTTTATGAATTGTGCGCGAGTGTTCGGCCAATCCCTCGCGAGGCGAAAAGCAGACACTGTAAGGGAACCAGTTAAGTGGTTCCTAGCAACAGATGATACTGCAGTTAAGCGATACGCACTTAAGAATTACCCTTTAAATGCAGTCACGCTAAATATAACTCCTCAGCACATAAATTCACTCACCAAGACGACGAATTCGGAGAAGATAGAAGGCATGTTTGGTGTTATAATGGATCATTTTTTATTGTCTGAGTGTGATTTTCTTATTTTGTCCAAGAGCACATTTGGAAAAACAGCAGCCGCGTTATTTTTTCATTCAGAAGGAACATCGATTTACGAGGATGTTTGTGGGGAACAATTAAGGAAGGGCATGACGCCCAACCTGCGCACAATACATCAGATTGACGGCTATTTCTGGAAACACCGAAATTCCTCGAATTAGCGCCTAGTCCGGCAATCTCAAATCTAAGATTAGGCGGTGGGCAGTTCACCATTCCCGTTATACCAGCTTGTAGGTCAGCCATTGAAAGACACAATTTTGATAAACTCAAATTAAATTGAAATTTCGTTGACTTGAACATCACAACAAACGACAAATGTGATTTTAACGTAACTCAGCGCAGACTCTTTGAATCGACGATCTCACGTATGCACTCAATTGCTTTATCACGAGACTGAAAATTGTTTTTGTTCCGTTCAGTTGTTTTCTTGTTGGTGTCGGAATTTTATTATGCATTCTGTCACTGGGCTAGAATTAATTTTTTGCAGCAGGTTTTAGAGTTGAAATGTTACTAAGATAGAGAATTGGGAATGGGGAATGAGAAAAGGGAAATGGAAAATGGTGAATGAGGAGGCAATTCACACAAAAATAAACCTTGACTGTTTTCGGCCTCGAAAGAAATCCACAGTTTTCGCACCTCACTGAAGTGGCTGTCAACGTGGCCATGCCACCAACGAGGCTACAGTAGCCACAGGCAGACCACTCTATGTGTTCGTGGTTAATAATTGTTTTTATTATATGGCTGTGTCTCACAAGGACTGGGAACTACCGAATTCACGAATTTGATTGGCTGAAATCGATATTGACCGCGGTCTAGATTTTCCCATCTAGACCGGCATCTAGCTAGACCGGTTTCATTTTGCGTTGAAAAAGTAGCAAACTCAAATACAAAAATGTTCACCATATTCTCTTATTTTCTTCTCAATCATTTTTGGAAGTGCCAAAAAGCCTGATGACAAAAAAAAAAAAA